ACCCTGGCTTGCTCTCTGGGCACTGTCTGGGCCATCCCTGCCAGCTGCCCACAGCCCTGCCTGGCCCAGGCCCCGCTAGCCTCTCCCACTCAGCCTGGAAGATGTGTCCCTTGGCCTTCAGCTTGTCCCAGTCCAGGTCATCCGCTCAAGTGCAGGCACCCTAGGACTGGCTTTCCGGCCTGGAGTTGAGGGAACTCCCCACAGGCAGCGTTGCCCCCCTCACCTAGTTGGGCAGCAGTGGGATCAAGCCCCAAGGCTCGAAGGAGTAGGCACCCAGGGGTTTGGGGGCCATCTCTGTCCAGTTGGTATCCTTCCCTGACGAGGCATCTGAAGTCCTAAGTTGTGCTGGCACAACGAGGCCAGACCTTGGCCTGCCCACCCTCAGGTCTTTTCCCTCTTTACTCCCCCAACCCTGTCTGCCACTTTTAACCTTCCTTCCTGGAACCCCTATCCCTATTCAGGCAATCTCCTGGCCTATCCCCAAAACTGCTGTCCTGGGTCCTGTCACACACAGTTCAGGCTTCAGGCTGGAAGCCCAGGCCAGAGGTCTGACCTGGGGGTTAAGTTCTCTTTCTTTCAGGAAATTTTCCGAGACCCAGGCGTAGGTTCCTTGTCAGCCCCGATCCCTAGAGGCTGGTGATGAGACTGGCAGGAGTGACCTTTGCACCTTGGCCTGGGAACACTCAAGGCCCTTGCCTCACAGCCAAGGCCAGAGTCTTGGGGGAACGCAAGAGAAAAGGAGAGAAAAGAACTGGAACAGGATCCCAGCACCTTCTTTAGGGCTGAGGCCCACCACTGACTGCTCCAAGGGGAAGGGGGATTAGACCTGGCTTAGCTCAGACAATGTGGCAGGATGGGGGGGCCTCAGCACTGCGCACGTGCCCTAAGAGTCCCTTCCCTTCCCCCAGTCACAATGGGGCCTGTGGGGAGAGCCAGCTAGAGCTAGGAAGGTGGGGGCAGGTGGAGGGAGGGAATCAGCTGCCTGGGGCCCAGCGGGGTGCGGGGCGTAGCCCGCTCTCCTTCCCTCTCCCTGCATCCCCCTTCCTCAGGCCCTCAGGCCCTGCCACCCACCCTGAGCTGGAGATTCTGGGCGCCAGACTCCCACCCTTGGCCCCGTTCTCCACCCTGTGGGGCAAATTCTTTCAGGCAGCTCCTCCTGGTCCCTCCTGACCCTCCCAGACACTCTCCTTCCTCCTGCTCCAGGCTCTCTGGCCCCGTGGGCTTAAGGGGCGGAAGGCAAAAGTTCCCCTAGGTCTGGGTGTTTTGCTGCTGGACGTCTCTTCTGCTCTGTCCCAAACACCCCACCCAAACCTCCTCCCTTTCACCTTGGCCTTCCTGGCTCTAGGGCAATCCTAGGGAGGTTTGAAAAGGGGCCCTTCCGGCCATTCCTCACCTTGGCCACCAGGTGTCAGACTTTGTCCAGCTGGGAGGAAGGTCCTACTTAAGTTTCCACCCCATCAGCCTAGCCTTGGCGATCAGGACAAACTGGAGAGGGGCCTAGAGGTGACCTCTGAACTAGGAAGGCTGAGGGATGCTGAAGCTTGGGGAAAGGGCCAGAGCTCTGGTTCTAAAGCTCACAGTTACTCCCTCAATGCCCCTACCCCCAGCCTACTGACAACGGCTTTGTCCACTGCTGGGAAATTGGGGAACCAGGCTGAGTCAGGGAGCTCAAGAATTGAAGGAACAAAGGCAGGGACAGTTGTGGCTCCAGAGAATAAGGGGGAGCTAAGGGGGAGCCACCCATCAGAGCGCTCAGCCAGGCCTGGATCACTAGCCCTTGCCCTGTAGGTTAAGGGGAACAAGGGCCACCCTTGGCCCTTCCCCACTTGGGATGGCTATGGCAAGTGGGGAATGTGTGTGTGTGTGTGTGTGTGTGTGTGTGTGTGTGTGTGGTGCGTGCTTCAATGAGTCTCCCCACATACCAAGGGGGACCTAAGTCCTGGATATGGGTCAGTCTTTGCAAAAGCAGGAAGCTGGCAAGGCATGACTACCCCCTTGCCGCCCCCCAGCAGAGCCTCTACTCTATCCACTCCCCCACCCCAGAAGTTGCCTCGCCCAAGTGACAGTTCTCCATCTTGTAGGCATCCTCTCAAACACAGGTGTGTTCCCAGGCACCCAAGATGAGGATGAGATTTCTCCTCCACAGCATGCTATCTGGAGGTGACAGGGAGGAGGGCCTTCTCTCCTTCTCTCCCACTCTCCCTAACCTTCCTGGGAGCAGAAGGCGTTCGTTCTAGAGATAATGCCCTTCCCCCTGTGACTCTGCAGGGCCCTAGGTGTCCCAGGTTCTTACATTGACCTCTGTGTACGTGGGCGCCTGACTATGAGACCGTACTTGAGAGGTGGAACCTAAGATAACCAATGAAAACCCATCACCTCTCCTGAAGCAGCTGTGGATGGAGAACAAATGACAAACCCATTCACAGAAAACCTGATGAGCTGTCATGCATGCGGAGCTACCCGCCTGGTGGTCCACAGCACCCAAACCCAAAGGAAGGACTCACACCCCTGACCTCATCAGTAGGGAGCTGTGGGGGGAGAGTTCAAGAACTCAGACTCTGAAATGCCCTTTCTGGTCAGGCTCCCCTATGCGTCCACCCCCTGCCCCCCACCCCTGCCACTGGTTCCCTCTACTCCCCACCCTGTAGGCATATGCAGCGCTGGGCTGGCAGCCACTCAGAGTGCAATCTCTAGCCCTCTAGAGTCTCTCGCCCTTTGATTCACTGCCATCCCTGCTTGCCTGTCCTCAGCCTTGGGCAATAGCCTCTCTTCACTGTGTCCCCACCTCTGGCTTGATAGGAAATGTCAGGGAATGTCACAGTCATGCCGATGAGTCCATGACAGAGATGTGTTTGCTGATATCACTGGTGCCACATGGCTACCCAGCAACCCTTTTGATTCTCTTCTGTTTGTCCCTGATTCCATTTCCCAAACCTCCCAATCCTTCTCCAGCCACCACCCCTCACACAGCAGCACCATGTTCTGATCTCTTCCATTTAAAAACAACAACAGGGGGCTTCCCTGGTGGCACAGTGGTTGAGAGTCTGTCTGCCGATGCGGGGGACACGGGTTCGTGCCCCGGTCTGGGAAGATCACACATGCCGTGGAGCGGCTGGGCCCGTGAGCCGTGGCCCAGAGCCTGCGCGTCCGGAGCCTGTGCTCTGCAACGGGGGAGGCCGCAACAGTGAGAGGCCCGCGTACCACAAAAAAACAAATAAACAAACAAACAAAAATTAAAAAAAAATAACAGGGGACTTCCCTGGTGGCGCAGTGGTTAAGAATCCGCCTGCCAACGCGGGGGACACGGGTTCGAGCCCTGGTCTGGGAAGATTCCACATGCCGTGGAGCAACTAAGCCCATGCACCACAACTACTGAGCCCGCGTGCCACAACTGCTGAAGCCCGCATGCCTAGTGCCCATACTCCGCAACAAGAGAAGCCACCGCAATGAGAATCCCGGGCACTGCAACGAAGAATAGCCCCCGCTCGCTACAACTAGAGAAAGCCCGCGTGCAGCAACAAAGTCCCAACGCAGCCATAAATAAATAAATAAATTTATAAAAAACAGCAACAGCAAAACCCAACCAAACAAACAACCTTCCGTGATCCTGCTGCTCCCTCTAGATGTTGACTTTGCCACCAAACTCCGGAGGGAATAGATTTACCCTTCCGACTTTCTTCTCACCATCTCCATCTTTAATCTCACAATTCGGTGTCTCTCAACTGCTCTTGCCAAGGTGGCCTGTGACTCCCTGATTACCAGAGAGGTGGTAATCAGGGAGGAGACCCACCCCCACCCCCACCCGTCTCCCCTCCGCTCTCCTGGGACATCTGACACTGCGGATCAGCTGCCTCCTTGAGACTCTCTTCTCTTGGCTTTTCACGCACTATTGTCTTGACACTCTTTAAATCTGTTTAAATCAAAGTATCGAGTACATTATCCTGTGCCCAGCATTGTGCTAAAATGCTGCAGGGATGCCCTCACGATGCTAGATGCTACCTGCTTAAAAGGGAGGCAGACACAACAGCCCTTGTCCTGCCCATCCTCCAAGAACGGCATCAGGTCCCACGCGGAAGCACTTACTGTGTCCTAGGCACTGGGAGTACAGCATGGACTTCAGACGCCACTTCCTGCCCTGTGGGGCCCACGGCCCAGCAGACCAGCAGGGCCCTCGCCCAACTGGATGCGATCACTCCCTCCTTCTTGACTTAAATAGTACTTTGCCTGCGTCTTTCTGCACTTAATCAAATTCTGCTTTGGATTCTAGCATTTGGCAGGGGGTGAAGATGGGGGGATGGGGGGGCTGGTCCCTCTTCCCAGATTTTGTTCAACACACTAATTGAACACCTTCTTTGGACTTGAGCTTGAGCCTGAGCTGGGTGCTGGACAGAGAGAAGGGGAAGACTCAGAATCTGCCCCCAGGAAGCTCACAGTATGTAGCGTGGGACGTACCTTCCTTCTCCCTGTATCCCATTTAGCCCCTTGCTAGGTGCCTCACAGCACAGCCTCTGGATGGAGACAGCCCAGAGGCCCTCTCCTTTCTATCTAGTTAGGCTGGTGGTGGGGCCTGCAGCTGCCCCTGGCCACACCTGGGCAGCCATCTCTGCCAGAAGAGCCTGGACTCCTCTGGGTGGATGTGTTCCCCCCAACTTGGGTCAGGTGACTCAGGGACTTTCGGCAGAGCCTGGCTCACCCCGCCCACAAGCAGGTCCTGTCGCTCCTGCACCTACACTCCCAGCTCCCCCTCTTCTGGTGGCTCTGCACTTGTCACTATCTCCCAGTGCACATCATGTGAGCGTGCTTTTGTTTCTTATCGGCTCAGGTAAGCTCGCTCTCTTCCCAGAGAGATTGCAGGCTCTGTAAGGGCAGGAGCCAAGTCAAGCCTTGGACTTCTTTAGGCTCTCCAACACCAGTTAGCACGGTGATGGGCAAGTAATTAGGTCTTTAAAATATTTGTCAACTGATTGACATCACCATTATTTGTTGCTTCCTTTGCTTAGGGCACTGTCTCCAGGAGGCCCTGGTAAAGTATCCCCGTATTACCTGGGAGCAGTTAGCCCATCGATCTACCCAGTGGCTCTTCACTAGAGCGTCCCGACACGCCAGACATCAGTCATCTGTGATTACTGACCGCCGCTGCCTCAGCCAAGCATCTTCCCTTCGTTGTTTCTCTTTTCCTTTCCAACGTTCTTATAAAGGTATTGATTATTCCCATTTTACAGATGGGGAAACTGGAGAATAGAGAGCTTTAAATCATTTGTTCAAGGTCACTCAGCTGGTAGGTTACGGACCTGGGATTTGATCTTAGGTCATCCCTCAAACAGCATCTGTCCCGTTTGCTCGCGGTCCAATATGAGTTTCTCTCTCTCCCCCTAATTGGCTGTTTTATGTTGGAGAGAAAAGGGTAGAGTCACAGCGGAGACTTGATACTTGGCCTCAGTCTGTCACCCTCCCTGGGAGACGAAGGGTATTGAGAAGGTGAGGGTCACTGCTGAGGGACTCCGGCAGCCGGCCACAGGTGGGCGTCCTGGGGAAGCTGAGGGCTAGATGCGCGGGGCTCGGAGAGAGCACCGGAGGGCAGAAGGACAGCTGTGCAGGGGGACAGACCCATAAGACCACTAAAGTAAGCCAGAGTGAGGTAGACGAGCAAAGGCTAGGAGAAGGAAGGTAAGCGACAGACAGATATTTGGGAGGACTAGAGGAGGGGTAGGTGGAGGGGCAGCAGTGGAGTCTGCTGTGTTCATGTCTTCCCAGTGGACACAGGGGAGAGAGCCTCTTCCCCAGCTCTTGGCATCTCCTGAGCTAACCCTTGGGCTTCTGGCCCTCCACCAGCAGGTGTAGGGCCGTGGCAGGGGTGGGGGTGGGGTGGGGGGCGGGGGTGGTGGCGGGGGTGGTGGGGAGGAGGCGGGAAGGCCCGGAGAACAAGGAGGAGAGCCAGGGGGCGGGGCAACGCCAAGCAAAAAGATGAAGTTCTGGGGCAAGCATTTTATTTGTTAATACAAGAATAGAAATTCTGCAATAAATATCATCTAATAAATAACATCTCCAAATAAATAAATATTAATACAACAAACTTAGAGTCATGAGTGGGTGGGGCTGGGGGGCAGGGCCTGGGGGAGCTGCCCCCCCGCACCCCGAAATGCTACTGCAATGTAAACTTTCAGGAAGTTCTGTGGCTGTGGCTATGGCTGCCCTCCCCAGCCTGGGCAACCCACAGATACCCTGGGAAAGGGGGCGGATTGGAGGCACCCTGGGGCTGGCAAGAAAATTCAAGGCAATGTCCTTTTGGTTGCCACCCTGTGCCACCGACTGCCTTGGGGACCCCTGGGTCCAGTCTGTCCCTGCCCCTCTGCTTTCAGTATTACCTCCAATGCAGATCCCACCTCTTCCATTTTTGATCCCATCTCTTCCTGTTTGGACTTGCCACTGTGTTTGTTTCCTGAATGGGATGTATTGAGTTATTTGGGGGTAGGGGAGCAACACCCATCTAAGGAGAGCAGGGCAGCCAAAGGGCTTCACCCCAGAAAGGCACATGCGATGGTGGCCCCCTCCCTGCCCTACAGGCACGCTTCCTGGCAGTGCCACTTGAGGGGCTGGGTGGGCACTGGCAAGTGGTTGGCAGGGAGCAGGAAGCTGTGAGAGCCTTGCACCAACTTGAACCATTGTGGGTTCCCTTGAGCATCACGTCCTGTGGAAATGGGATGGGGCCTATTGCACCTCTTCCCCAGACCCGTAGGACTTAGGGCAGCGGGGAGGGGATGGGCCTTATTGCATCACACCCTCCTCCCAGTCCAGGGAGGGCTAGAGGCTCATGGCTTCTGTCTCCTGGCTCAACAAGTGTTGGTGTACGCCTTTCTCCCTCCCAGAGTGGGAGCAGGGCTTGAAGGCGGAGGGGAAAGAGACGGTGGTAAAGGTCAGGGATCAGAAGCCATGGGCCTCCAGGTGCAGGGTGACCGCGGCTGCCGGAGGCTGCATCTTCTTCTTGAGCCGGTTGAAGTCCTTGGCCGAGCGCCACAGCCAGGTCTGCAGTTCCTTCAGCAGCCAGAAGTCATCCATCTTCTGGAGGAAGTCACTGTGGGCAGGGCCAGGCGTCCAGGTGGGCTCAGTCCCGGGCAGAGGCTGGGGCAGCGGGTAGCCCAGAGCTGCCATGACACCCGCGATGCTGCCCAGCAGGCCCTGGAGGCTGGTGCAGAAGTGGGCCAGGCTGCGGCGCAGCTCAGCCGTGGCGGCCTGGCGGTTGAGGCCACGCAGGTAGCACAGGAGGTGGCTGTAGGCCTCGTAGTTCTGGGTCAGCCGCAGTCTGTCGTTGAGGCTTCGCCACACGTCCAGGTTGACAGTGGCCCTGGGCAGAGTCTCCGCCCCGAGCCGTGGTGGGTTGAAGTCAGGCTCGTTGAAAGGGGGGCCCAGGTAGTTCAGCTGTGAAAAGGAGAGGGCGATGGGGAGGGAGAGGGGCGGAGAAGCCAGCTCGCCTGCCTGCCGGGAGATACCTGCCCCCAAAGCTGCTATTTCCTGTGTCCCCTGACACGGGCCCCACCTCCACGCTAGGCCTCTCTGTTCTCGGGCCTCCCCTAAGTTTCTCTGGGGAAGTCATTTGCATGGAGGTGACAGTTGAAGCAATGGGGGTGATGAGCTCTCCTATGGAGAAGTGCAGAAAGAGAATAACACGCAGGAGAAACTCAGGAAGGACGCGCTGATTGGCTGAGAGTACCAGCCTTGGGAGAGCGCCCACTGTGGGGGTTGGGAGAGAGAGGAAGAGGAGCCATGAGGACCCAGGAGGCCAGGCTGCAGAGGTGAAGGTGGACCAGGAGAGTCAGAGCCAAGGAGAGGAGTTCAAGAAGGCAGCAACGCTCAGCAGTGGGGCTGCAAAACAGAGAGCGAGGAGAATGAACCTTAGAAATGCCATTGGGTTTGGCAAGAAGGAGGTGCCTGACGACCTTGGAGAGAACCGTTCCAGTGGCCTCGAAGCCAGATTGCAGGGGGTTAAGGAGTGAGTGGGTGGAGAGGAAGTGGAGGCAGAGGCTGCAGACCACTCCTTCAAGAGATTTGGCAGCCCGGGGAGAAAAAGGGTCGGGAGCTAGGGGGGTAGCAGTCAAGCAAAGGTTTTCTGGACGGGAAACCAGAGAGGGAAGAGCGGGTGGAAAGGCAGAGGGGCCCGTGAGCATCCAAGCTGCCCTGGGTGGAAAGGCAGAGGGGCTCATGACCATCCGAGCTGCCTTTGCCCCTTGGCACGCATGGTCCACCAGCTGCAGGGCAGGGGACAAGGTACTCACTAAGCCCCCAAAGAAGCGCTCATAGGCGCGAGGCGGCAGAAGGAAGAAAGTGAGGCCATCTCAAAAGCTGGGCAGGAGGAAGGGTATCGAGGACAGTCTGGGGAAGAGGAGAGAGCCTTGCCAAGCCTCCGGGGAGAGGCCTGGGGCCCCGGGAAAGGGCGAGGGAGATGGTTCAGCTGGGAGAGAAAGGGAGAAGCGAGGGGCGAGGCCTGGGATAGGCAAGGGCCCGGGGGAGGTTCCCACGCTGACAAGCACAGAGACAAACTCATTTCCTCGGTGTATCCTGGGGCCGGAGCCAGCTCCCCCCGCCACCCTCCTCCCCTTTCTTTCCCTGGCTCCAAAGTAGGGTCTGGGATGTGGAAGAGGAACACGGGAAGAGGGGCCAGTTCCCCACGGTCCTCGGAACCCTGACCCTCCTGCCTTCCCTCCTGGGCTCTCTGAGCACCTCTGGACCGCCCCCAGATCCTTATGGCACAGGGTCCAACTGCACCCTGAACCCCCTGCCACTCCTGGCCTGGGTTCCCTGCAGCCCCCTTCCCCCAAGTCCCCCCTAGGAGGCCCAGCTAGGATGGGAGAGGCAGACAGAAGGGAGGCCCATGGGTCCAGAGCTGCAGGGCCCCAGGTCTGGGGCAGAGACGAGCTGGAACACAGGCACGGGAGGTGGGGCCCCTCCATCCCCACCCAGCCCCACCCGTGCACGAGAGACACCACAACACGGTGTAAACAGAGGAGACTTCCCCGGCCCCCAGGGGGAGGCGGGCGGCTGGGCCGGCAGCCAGCAGGGCGAGGGGCCAAGGCGGGTGCGAGGCCTGCCCACATGCCTAGTCCTGGGGCCAGGGATGGGGAGGAGGGGCGCCCTCCCTAAGAGGGAAGGGCGGGGACAGGCCCTCCCCATCACCCCATCATTCACCAGGACCCCCACCGGTGGGCCTCTCTTCCCCCACTCCCATTCTTCACCCAACTCCCAGCCCCTGAGCTGCCCTGGATACTCACATAGGTCCCAGCCAAGCTGCGGAGCTGGTGCTCCAGGTAGCGGGTGAGGTCATAGGTTTTCTGGATGGAGGGGCCAGGCCCCGGGTCCCCTGTGCGGTTGAGGGCTGGCACTGCAGGGAGGTGCCAGAGCACGGTGCACAGGCACGCGAGCATCCCCCACGAGTCCCCTGTGGACAAGACGGCGAGACGCGTGAGGGTGGCCCGGCCCGGTCAAGGAAGCTAGCTAGCAGCCCCTCAGGTGTCTGTCCCCACCATAGGCTGGGAGGGGGTGAGGGTGGACCACCAGATGGGAGGTGCGGGGAGTGGAAGAGGGGAGTGTTCCTGGCCTGAGAAAGTGTGTGCACGGAGGCATGTATGTGTCTGAGGAAGAGGACTTGGCCTGTGTGTCTACCAGGAGGTACTGGAGAGTATTTGTGCGTCAGCTAAGTCGCTATGTGTGCCGACATGCGTACGTGTGTGTGTGCACGTGCGTGCGCGTGTGTGTGTGTGTACATGGGGGACCAGGCCAAGGGACTGCGGATCAGGATCAGTATTCCCAGGTTCCAGGTGTACCTCGGCCTCCTCTCCCACCCTCCGGGTCCCACTGCAGTTTAGGGGGAGCCAAGGGGTTGGGAAACAGCACGTGTCAGAGCTTCAAACTGAGAGAAGTCAGCCCTGAGAGGGGTGCCCCAGAGGCGGCCAGGAGTGGGAGTTGAGCCAGAGGCAGGACATAGGGTCAAACCACCAGGGTCAGAGGCAAGGTGGAGCTGTGGACCACCAGGGGCGGGCTGAAGGACACGGGGCTGGCTCCGGCAGGCGGTGGTGGGTACATTCTGGGATTTGATTCCCGGGTGTGGAAAGTGTAGGATCGACTTAGATTGAAGGAGATTTAGTGTCACTCTGAGAGGCTGGCTGCAGCGTGGAGATCTGCCCCATTCTCCTCTAGGGTATTGGATGGGGAAAAGTGTGACCTGAATGAGACCCGGTGATCTGCGGTAATCTGCCTTCAGCGAAGAGAGGGGGCAGGGGGAGGGGAGAGAGAGAGAGAGAGAGAGAGAGAATATGATGTATCTGCCGAGTAGGGCTTGTCTGATGATGGTGCTGGAGGGTTTGGGCCCCGCAGGATACCAGAGGCCAGGGGGTCAATGCTGTGAGGACAGACTAGGCAGTTGGGAAACATGACTTTCCCAGCTTTTAGGTGAGGTCCAAGGTCAAGAGCGCTAGGCCAGGAGTCAGTGGGCATTGGGACTGGCAGTGGCAATGAGGGTTAGGGTAGAGTAAGGCTCTAATTGGCATTGAGCTAGGTTAGGTTTACGGACTGGGTTCCTTTCAAAGCTTCAGGTTGGTTTATTGGGGTTTGGCTGACTGAGTGTGGTTGAGGTCCGCGTCCAGCGGGGGATGTGGTTGGGCCTGGGCAGGCAGGGGCTGGGGCTAAGGTTTGTGAATTTGTTGACTTAGCTGCCAGATGGGGTGATGCATGGCCCGTCAGCAAGAGTAGGGCTAGTTTGGGCTTTGCGCTTGGGTAGGTGTGAGATCACGAGTGGTTTCTTTCTTCTAGTTTACATTATAGGGCTTCCCTGGTGGCGCAGTGGTTGAGAGTCCGCCTGCCGATGCAGGGGACACGGGTTCGTGCCCCGGTGCGGGAGGATCCCGCATGCCGCGGAGCGGCTGGGCCCGTGAGCCATGGCCGCTGAGCCTGCGCGTCCGGAGCCTGTGCTCCGCAACGGGAGAGGCCACAACAGTGAGAGGCCCGCGTACCGCAAAACAAAAAACAAAAAAAAACCCGTATAGTTTACATTATATACTGTCAAATTTTCTACAATGACATACGTTGCTTTGATAGAAATAAGTTGGATGGGGGTTTAACAATTTGATTGTACTTAAGATAAGTGTGGAGTTAAGAAAGTATTAAGACTAGGTAGGTTTAGACTTAGTCATAACACTGGGTCGGGGCTTTAGAGAGGGTTACAAACGAGGAGGGGTTAGGAGTCACACGCTATGGAATGTCTCTGAGAGCGCAGGGCTCAGGTGGGAACTTTGGCAATGGCGCAGCTGCTCAGTCCTGACTCTCAGATGCTTTCCTGGCTGGCTTCACTGACAGAATGCAGTAGCAGGGCTGCCACTAGTCTCAGGAACCCTGCCCTCTCGGGTGGAGGGCTCTTGGTTCTAGGCTGTGTGTGTGTGTGTGTGTGTGTGTGTGTGAGTGAGTGTGCGCCCCATCCATGTGTGTTTTAGGACAGAAAGCAGGATCAGGCTCATAACTGCTCCCTGGGGAGACAGGCTCCCCTTCTCCTCTTCCCCATCTGCAGCCTGTGGCTTCCCTCCCAAACGGTCCCTTCCTCATTCTTCCTTTCCACCCCTAGCTCTTGCTGACTCTCTGAGTTCCTTCCTATTCTCCGTTCTTCACATCCCAACACAATTCCAGGCCCTTCTCCTCTGCTGCCTTCAGCCTGGCTATCTGGCTGAGTCACCTCCAGGATCCTTTGGGTACAATGTGGGGTTAGTTTCAGAGGCTGGAGACCTGCTGAGGTGGGCAGCAGTCCTTGCAGCCTTGAGGTAGCTTTCAGGATTGAGCCTGGTCTCTTCTCGCAGTTAGTGGCAAGGCCGAGGGTCCCAGCTGAAGCAGCAGTTGAGCACTAGGCTCGCCTCTTTACCCCACACCCTGCTCCGGGCAGCCTTGCTAGCCAGAGTTCTGGGACTGGGCTCTGCCTGGCCCACGGTGGTGCGGGGGGGTAGGGGGGGTCAGGAACCCAGCTCTGGGCCTTGTTTGCCCCCTCCCCTTCTGGGCCCTGCGGGACATCCCTGGGGAGGATTGGCTCCCTATACAGGGACAGCAGGGGGAGAAGCCTTTGCAAAAACAAGAACGAAGTCATCTGGGCAGAAAAACGGCTCGTGAAATTAACCAGACAAGGCCGGTGTTTCCAGGAATATTTCAGTTCTGAGGTAACTGTGTCACTGAAGGCTGGGTGGGGGGCGGGGGGGGAAGCTGAAGGAGCTTCGGGATTGACCCATGGAGAGAACCAGAAAGAGGGAAGGAGCCTCAGAAATCCAGAGGGAGAAGAGGCCAGGAGAGGAGTAAGGTGACAGGGCTCTACACTCCATTAGGACAGCCTCCACTCTGGGCAAGATGTCCCATAACTTAGGCAGCAGAACTGAAAGCCTTCCGGGGCAGGGAACACCTGTGGTTTAGTCGTGAGCACTGGAACTCAGCACAGCTCGCCACTTGCCTGTGTTCCTAGGAGGGCAAGCCCGGTGGGCATCCTGGAGCCCTCTCCAGGCTCGTGGTGTGCAGGTGGACCGGCCACCGGGGGCTGATTCCTGGGCCCCCTCCCGGAGTCCTGGCCGCCCGCCCAGCCCCACCCCAGCTCTGCCTCTGGCTGCTGCCCACTGATTGTTTACATCCCGTCTTCCCCTGTGTTTATAAATCCAGCTGAGCACGTGAGGAGCTGATGAGAGCAGCTCACGTTTCCTGCTGCGGCCCCCCCACCCCCATCCTGGCCCCCGCCCGGGCCAGCCCCTAATTCCATCCAGATCCCTGGGCCCTGGGCACCGAGGCCCCCCCTCATGAACACACACACACACACACACACACACACACACTCACACACACACACACACTCACACACACACTCACACACACACACTCAGCCCATGCAAGCGCATGGCCACCCTGACACGGCTACACAGGCAGGCATACCCGTATACGCATGTTTAGGCAGCTGCCCCCTCAGCCTGTCTCCCCCAGTCTGACCTCACGCAGTGAAGGTAGGGTGCTCAGCAGTGCAGATACGCCAGGGTAGTCAGGGTGGGTAGGACAGGTCAGCCAGGAGACCGTGCACCTGGGATTGGTGGCTAAGAGCCATCAGCCTAACAGGTAGGAGCCGGGGAGGCATCGCAGAGCTCCAGAGGTGCTGGGCTGAATGTGGGAGCCAGAGGAAAGGCCAGACCAGGACTGGCATCCTGGTGACCTTGGAGGGGTCTGTTGAGGTGCACTGAGGGGACGAGTGGTTTAGGGGGTGGTGGGTCCACTGTGGTGTGAGATCCAGGAAACGGCCCTGGGGGTCACCTCCCAGCCCCCCTTCTCAGGGAAGGGCCCAAAGAAACAGCCCATCTTTCCTTGTCCTCTAGGCTGGCTGCCCTCCCCTCTGTTCCTTCTCTCCCTTCCATCCTCTCCTTGGTTCCCTATCCCCCAGGCAACTGAGAATCGGCTTAGTGAGTGGGTACACACGGGCCCAGAAGTGAGGAGACCTCACTTTGTCACCAGCTCATCCGGTGACTGGGCTTGTGTGAAGGGGTTACACTGTGCGTGTGAAATTCCAGACCACGTGATGCTCCACCTCTGCTGTGCTCATCAGCAGCCCCCTCCCTGCCCTTCTCGTCCAGCCTAAATGACAGAAGAAGAAACTGAGGCCCAGGGAAAGAAACAGATGGGCGGGCCAGCCTTCCAGCCTTGTGGAGTCCATTCCCACCCAGGAGTTGGGCTTTTGTTGGAGCCAGAGGGTCCGGATGGTGCTGCAAGAGGACCCTGGGTGGAGCCGGGGAGCTGGGCAGCCAGCAGAAGGCAGGCACAGGGGCAACATGAAGGAAAGAGTCCGGCAATTGTGTAGGTGTGCTTGAAAAGGTGTTGTTATCCAGCGGGTATGGGAGGGGCTCAGAGGGAGCGTGCAGGAACCAGGGTGTGAATAGGCAGGTGGGATTGTGGGGAGGAATGTGAAGTGTCACTAATGGAGTAGCTGGTGCAGAGGGGTGGTGTGCAGAAGTGTGAACGGGCCCAGCGCAGGGCTCTGGCAGGGGGAGAGGGAGCCATTACATCAGTTGGGAGGAGAGACTTCTGGGGCGGCTGGGTGACAGTTGCTGCCACCTCTGCCTGATGATGCCCGTTTCCTCCCCTGGTTGAGTGCCTGGCTCCAGGGCAGCGAGGGTGTCTGAGCCAGTGGGGGGAATGGGTCTGATCTGTCAGGGGGATGTATCCCTGTGTCCTACGGCGGGGGCGGGGGGAACAGTTGTGTGCTCCTGGAGCCGGGAGGGGGTCCGTGGGGACAGTGAAAGCTCAGAGGTGTCAGCCTGTATGGGTCAGGGTCAGAGAGCGCCTGACAGAGGAGTGGGTCCAGTGCCTGCACCCACAGCCTCTCTCCGAGGCTCGGACCGCTCCTGCCGAGCCAAGCCTCCAGCCCCCTCCCCTCCTGGCAGCCCCCTCCTACCCCAGCGGGGAGGGCCAGGCCGGGCGCAGGAGGAAACAGGGACGCGTCCTCTGGGATTGGGAGTCTGGGGAGGGCTTCTGGAGCGCAGTGTGGAGTTGCTGGGAAGGAAGGTAGGGAGAGCAGGGATGAGGGCACTCTGGCGAGGCCCGGGGACTTGGGGTTTCCCTCGAGGGGCTCGGCCCGAGAACTCGGCCGGCCCTCACCCTCGGCGGTGACCTCTCGCTCCCGGCCCCCTCCCCGAAGCGGCGGCGCCTTCCCCCTGTGTGGCCCCCGCGCCCCCGGCCCCGCCCCCGGCCCGCTCCCGCCCGGTCTCTCCCTTCCCGGCGGCGGGGGCGGGGGCGGGGTCCGGGGCGCCGGGCTCCGGGCTCGGCCGGGCCGCTGCCCTTTCCCGCGCGTCAATTCCCTGCCCTGCCCGCCCGCCCTCCCGCGGGCTGCCGGGGCCGAGCGGCCGCTGCCTCAGCTCCCCGGCCGGTGACAGACTTTCCTGCCCGGTCCGGCCGGGCTGCGCCCGCCCCCCGCACTAATCACTCCCAGGCCACGGCGGGCCGGCCCGGGGGGCTCGCTGCCGCCTCCCGCCCCGCCGCCCGGCCCCTACCTGCCGCCGGCTCCCCCGCTGCGGGCAGCATGGTGGGCTCCGGCCGCGCGGCGCGCAGCGAGGAAGCCGCGACTCCCGCGGCCCGGCCCGGACCAGCCAGGCTCCGCTCTGCCCTCCGCCCTCCTCTCTACTCTCGCCCGCCCTCCTTCCCGCCCTCCCCTCCCGGCGGGCCGGGGAGGGAGAGCGGCGCGGCCCGAGGTGTCGGCCTCTCCTCGCCTCCCGCCGGCCCGGCCTCGGGCTCCCCGTGCCTCCCTCCCTCCCTCCCTCTTCCTCTCCCGGCCCCCTTCTCCCCGCGCGCCGCGTCTCCCTCCCGCAGCCCCGCTCCCGCCTCGGACGCGCTCTCCCCGACTTTTGCGCGGGGCTCTCTCCTCCGGGATCCCGCGACCCCGCCTCGCCGGGCTCCAGGTGGCCGCCTCCCAGGTCTGCGGGCCGCCGGGGCTCCCCGCCGAGCGGACTCAGGGAATGCCGCGTCCCCGCCCGGCCCCTCTCGAAGGCGCCCGGCCGTGCCTCTCCTGGCCCGAGCCCCGCGGACGGGGGCAGCGCCCGGCTCCCCGGCCGGGCCCCGGCTCGGGACTCCCAGGGGGAAGGACTGGAACCGGATCTCGCGGCTCCCGGGCGGGGGCGGGGGCCGGGGCCTCGGACGCCTGGCTCCTACCTGCTCGGAGGTCCATGGGGCTGGGGGCCGGGCGGGCCGGGCGCGGCTCCTCTCCCGGAGGCTGGCGGAGTGGGAGGGCGAGCCGCGGCTCCGGCGAAGCTTTAATAATCCCATCCGCCAGGCCCACTCGCAGGTTTTTTTCGCTCGGTTTCGGATTTTTTTTTTTTTTTCGGTGTGGGACATTCTGCAAACTTTTTTTTTCTGACGTGTAAAGCTGTAACCACAAATTGTAGCGGCCCTCCCCGGGGTGGGGGGAGGAGGGGGGAGGAGGGAAGGGAGGGCTTCTGGGGCTCCTCTCCCTCCCACAACACCGAGGGGGGGTGAGGTGAGGCGAGGCTGCGGCGGTACCACCCTGGGCCTCCCTGGGGGAGGGGGCGGGAGGGCATCAGTGCTTCTGCAAACTCCCAAGAGCCAGGGGAGTGAGCCGGCCTCTCCTTTTCTTCTCCCTCGGTGTCGGCCCGGGGCGCCTGCCCCCTGCCCGGCGGGGTCCCAGCTCTCACCCTACCTCTGCCTCCAAGTCTCTAACCTTCCCTCCCCTCCCCCTCCCCCTCCCCCTGAGTAAATGCAATGACACATCCTCCCAAATGCCAGCGAGCTGGCTTCGAAGCAAGTGATGGTGTTTTTCCTGCTGCCCTTTGTCTGGGCTGACCGCCCCCCTTGCCTATTGTCCCGCCGCCTGTCCCATTTCCAAAAGCTGAGGCTAAGCGAGGCTCCGGGGCTGGGGCAGGTGACTAACCGGCTCACAATGCCCCGTGGGGGGCAAGAAGAGGGCAACACAGGCGCACTGCCCAGCGTGGAGGAGAGAAGAGGGCACTTGGCTGAGGGTTTTTCCCTCAAGTTCACAGGGTTCTTCATTCTTCTTCCCAGCCGCCAGGAGAGTGCTCATGGGTGGGGGATTTGTAATTCATTAATCAGCACGAGGCACCGGACCAGTTTCAACACCAGAGGCTTCAGGGGTGACTCAGCGGGACCGCTCGAATTCAAGGCGATGGACAGACCAAGAGTCCCCACTTGTGAAATGCTTCCCCAAGAAGCCATTTGGCCATCTCCTGCCTTTGGGGTTTGGATTGTAGGTTTTTTCCGGTGCTGGGGTGGGGGTGGTCTTGAGTGTGGAGTGCTCTCCCTGCGTCCTTCCCTCAGGCCTGGGTTGGGACTTGCCGGGGCGGGATTCCTAGGGGACCCGTAGCCCAGACCCTCCCTGGAGGGTCTCCCTTCCTCCCTGTACAGAGGGCTGCCAAGGAGCGTGCAAAGGAAACAGCTCTCATCTGGAGGCCTGCAGACATCCCCACTCTGTGACTTTTCTTGGGGGACGGTCACTTGGTCTCCAAGGCTTGAGTGCTCTAGAACCGGACCGCCAATTAAATCACTTGGTAATACGTTGCTTTTGTTGTTGTTTATTTGCTGTTTCAAGGAGGGAGAGGTGGTGGGCCAGACCTGAGAGGTGATTCCTCTCTGGAATAGCATCGGAGCCTGCGCTCACCACTCCTGCCCTGGGTCCCCCCTCCCCCCCGACCGGAGAAGGAAGGACACCCTGCCCGCCCTGCCATAGCCCCTGCAGCCTGTGGGTCAGAGCAGGCAGCGTGGGCATGACCAGCGCTGGGTTCCCAGGGCAGCTCTTCCCTTTTCTGCACTTCGAGAACTGGGATGGGGGGGTGGGGGGGTGGGGAAGAAGTTTGTTTTCAATTACCTCACTGGAGTGGGACAGACTTTGTTGTTGGGTTTGTTTTGGGTTTTTTTTTCCGCTTTCTTTCATTTCCTAAACGAGGAGAAAATGAGCTGAGAAAGGGGAGCTGGCGGGGGGTTGGGGGCAGGGGATTTTCTGGGGCGTCAGGAGCAGCTCTGATGAAACCTGCCTTGGAAGGGCCCTTTGCAAAAGGGCTGGGGGGGGGGGGCCTCCCGCCCACCCCTCCCCCAGCCAGAATGCTGTGGAGTTTCAATGACATTCTTGGCCAGTGAGCCCGAAGATCTTCTGATGCCCAGGCCAAGGTCAAGGAGGCAGATGCCCAGGGGGTGACTGGCACTGAGGCTGGCCAGGAGGTCCCCTAGCAGCCACCCTTCCAGAGGGAGGGAGCCACAGAAGGAAGGGGAGCGGGAGGGGGAGAAGGGAGCCTCTCAAGTCCTTCTCCCCTGGTGTGCAGCCTGCTCCTTGTGGAGAGTGTCTGCACAGACAATGTGGTTTGGATTTGGCTGAGCCCCTCAGCACCTTATAAAGCACCTTGCTGAGTCAGGGAGAAAGCGGCCCCAACACGGGAGAGGAGGAGGGGCCAGGGGAGAAAGGGGAAAGAGGGAGAGGGGAGCCGAAGGAAGGGGGGGCTGAGGGAAGAGGAGGGAGAAAAGAAGGGACGGGGCAGGAGACACAAAGAGGAGCAGACTGCAGTGGAAGGGGAGGAAAGCTTCCCATGCCCTCACCCCTGCCAGCAAATGTTCACCTCGGGAATCGAGAGAGAGAGCCTCGGTCTGCAGGAACCGAGGGCTGCAGCTCTGAAGTGGGGACCCAGGCCAGCTGGGTGCAGGGACAACTGGCTTTCCACACTGCCCCGGGCTTGATGCCGTGACCCTACAAGCTGGGGAAGTCGTGTTCTCCCTCTGCCTCTTGTCTGGACTTGCATCCCTGCCCTCTCCCCTCACCTGGCGGGGACGGGGTGGGGGGTGGGGGGCAAGCCTCTCCCCTCCCCCATCTTCCCCACTGCCAAAGGGAAAATCAACTCCGTCTCCAAGCTGCCAGTGCCCCTCTGCCCCTCTGTCTGGGCAAAGGCAGCAGGCTAGGAGCTGCCAGTTGGTTTGGGGTAGGGGCTAGAATAAAGACTGTGCCTTTATTCTGCCAAATCCCAAAGGGGGCTGGGCTGAGGGAGTTGCGGGGAGAAGGGAGAAGCAGAGCAGCGAGAGCCCCTCCAGGCTTTCTGTGGGGTGGTGGGCACAGGTGGCTGCCCTCTGATTTCCAGCTGGGGAACTTGGGGAAGTTCCTGCACCCCTGTGGCTCTCAGAAAGGGATGTTTGTTTGGGGCCCTGCCAGCTCTCACGATCTGGGATTGCTGCTGGGGGCAGGGCAGAGGTTAGAGGAGACACTGGCCCCCTGAGCTCCAGATCCATCTGTCCCACGAAGCGTTGCACAGGTATTTCCTGAGCCCCTGCTGGGTGCCAGGTCCCGTAAAGGACAGAGAGACAAGGAAAACCCACCCCTGCCTTCAAGAATTTCACAGTCTTGTGACAAGGGACACTACTAAACTGAGATCAGAGGATGATGAGGGAAGGAGAGCTCTGGGCGGAGGTGGAGCTTCTGGATGGAAATGTGGCTGGATGGCAGGAGGGGCAGCGGCAGCCAACCACAGGCCGAAGGGCGTAGCTCACGGGGCTGCCTGCCGTGGGCAGAGGGCAGAGGGCAGGACTGGGAGTCAGGATGCCAGGCTTCCAATTGGGCGGCGGGCCTTGGGACAAGCCCACCACCTCTTGGCGGAATGCGCTGTGACCACCTCTGCCTCCCCTCCCATGGGATGGTGGGAGTATCAGTGAGCTGATAAGGAGGATGCTGTTTTGATGCCCTCTCTGGCCTTCCAGACTTCAATCCTTACCATCCGCAGGGGGTGGCAGGTCAGGCCTCAAAGGGTGTGTCTGGGTAGGGGGCAGGGCTGGCACCCAGAGACGACTGAGCTGCCCTCCAAGGGGCTGGGGGTGAGTCAGTGTTGGCTCAGGGACAGGCTAGGATTCCACCCCTCCCTCCTGCCTCCCCTCCTCCCCCCATAACTGGCATCCCCAGGGAAGGCTCTCTATATGCCCAAAAGGCCCCATGTCCCATGCAGATGCAGAACTGGCATTGAAGGGGCCCTGACCCCTGGGGTGTCCGGGGAAGCCTCTGGTCCAGTCCCCTCCTGGTGGGTGAGCAGCAGTGTGGTATTGGAGAAGCCCACAGAGATGAGCAAGGACATTCACTCATTCATTCATTTGTTCACCAAACATTCCTTGAGTTCCTACTCTGTGCCAGGTGCCAGGGACACAGAGAGGAGGCCTAAGAGGCCCTGGGGTCAAGAGGCAGAGGCTGGCCTGTGCCGCAGGCAGGAGAGGCAGCGGCCGGCCCCAGAGACTCCGCCAGCCTGCTGCAACGCCTGGCATTCCTTGGCGACACACTGCTCCTTTGCGCCTCTCAGGCTTAACTCATGACAGGCGTTGAAACGTACTGAGCTCTCACCACGAGTCAGGTTCTGGGCTAAGGCTTTCTGTGAATGATTTCATTCCATTCTTACAATAACCCTAGAAAATAAGACCTGCAGTTTCCCCATGTTACACACGAGGGCACTGAGGCTTGGTAACGTGAAGTCGCTTGTCTAAGGTCACACCAGGAGGTAGAACCAGGGCTGGAACTGAGGACCGTTTGCCTTGAGCACCTCGCCCCCTTAACTGCCCCCACGGCGCAGGCGCAGGGACTCTTGAAAGGAGAAGAGGCTGGATGCGGAGACGGCAGCGCGTGCAGAGCACCCCCTGGCTATGAGGCATCTAACCTGGGGCACGCCTGGTCTCTCTCCTCAGGACACGAGCACGTTCTCTGGGACAGAGAGTCCCCATGTGCCTGGAGCAGGAGACCTGGGCTCTCCTGCCCGCGACCCGCCACACGCGACTAACTGGGCCAACCATGCCACGTGGCCCTCCTGGGTCGGTGAGAGGTGCCAGCCTGGGAGCCTTCAGTCCCCTCAGCTGGAATTGTGGATTCCGCGAGCAGAGCAGTGAGTCTGAATCATGGAATGAGCACTGAGCTGGAAGGCAGACGGCTGCCTGCACACAGAGTCAGGACAAGGCTGTGCCTCCTGAGGGCCCGACCGACCGTGTGGCCTGCAAAGTGCACCCCGGGAGGGGCGCCCCTCTGCCACTACGCACGCATGCTCCAGCGTGACTGTGCAGGCACAGGGGCCACCGAGGGCAGCAGGGGGAGGAAAGGCGGCAGGGAGTGCACTTTCCCCTTTCTTCCAGGGTCAGGAGCCCAGAGGGCCTTGCCTCACCCTGAGCTGGCTGTGATGTCAGCGGAAACCCCAGGGCCAAAGGCCTCCTCCTACCTTAGCAATAGTCCTGCATCCCCCACCTACACCTGGCCCAGCTCAGGCCTCCCGAGAAAAACGGCACCCACAGCCCGTGCCTCCCAGCCGAGGAGAGGAACCAGGTCCTGCCGCCTGCCTCTCCCCTGCCCTACCTGGGCTGGCTCCCCGTCTGCAAGGATGTCAGGGTGATGGCTGTGTGAGGAAGACAGGGGCAGGAGGGGTACCCTCAGGGGCTCCACCACCAC